CCCCCCCCCCTTGCGAGCACCGCAGTCAGGCATCCCCCCTTGAAAGTCCGGGCGTGGCGTGGATGCGCCCCCCTTGGCCTTGCGCGCGAGATCATGCCGCGGTATCTTTCTCAAGGCCCCCTGGGTGAGAGGTGTGGCGTGGCCGAGCGGGGGGGACGGTGTGGCGGCCGGCCTTTTGCGTCACGGCGCTTACGGGCATTAGTATTGCTGTGACCGCGCGCGGGCCACGGCACCTGGTACGAGCGGGGCGCCCTGGGTGCGCTTCGTGTGGGGCCGGGCCTTCGGGTTCCCGGGGCGGGGGCTGTCGCCGGGGCAGCCGCCGGCGGGGGCCCCTCGCCCGGCGCCGGGGCGGCCCCTATAAAAGGAAGGTGCCGGGGCGCCGAACCAATGTGCCCGACACACCACCGACCCCTGTGTCTTTCCCCCCCTCTCCCACCTGCATGCGGTGCGTTTCGCCGGGGGGGGCTCCCCCCTGAGCATTGGCCTGGTGTGCTTGGGGCTGTCGGCTGACCGGCCTTGTGGGGATGTACTGACGACATGCTGGGTCGGATGTGCCGGGCGGCACCGGTCGCGCCCCCCCCCCCCCCCCCAGACCCGCCTGATCACCATGAACAAGAACCAAGACCGCCCGAGCCACGGAACCGAGCACCAGCCGCGCGCGCCGCAGCAGCCGCGGCAGCCGGAGCAGCAGAGGCACGAGCCCATCGGGCAGAGGCCCGCCGGGGCCGGGGCCGGGGCCGAGGCCCAGGGCCGCCCGTCGGACGAGCAGCAGCCGGGCCAGGAGCCCCGGGGCTCGAGCGACAGGATACCCCCGGGCCGGCCGCTGGACCAGCGCAAGCTCACCGAGCAGGAGCGCTTCAGCGAGTCGATCCACGGCGACCCGACGTCCAAGCCCTTCAGGCATGAGCCGGAGGGCCGCCTGGCCGAGGCGGCCCCGGGCGGTCAGAAGGCCAGCCCCCCCGGTGCCGAGGGCGGCTCGCAGCAGGGTGCTGGCCGGCCTCTGTGAGGGGGCTGCGGCCAGCGCGCGGGCCGTGCCGCTGTGAGGAGGGCCCGGGCGGCCCCGGGGCGCATTGTCCGCCGCCCCCTGTGGCCCTGGGCCGGGGGTGCGCCGAGGCGACCGGCGTTATGGCCCGCGCGAGGGGCCGGCCATCCGCTGGCGGGGCTCCGGCCGCGGGGACGGGCGGTGCCGCTTGCCGGTGCCGGCTGTGCCCCCGGCCCGGGAGGATCGCCCGAGGGGCGAATAGATCGAGTCCCCTGCAGCTGTGTGGCTGGCGTGTGTGCCTTTCGGCCGAGGTAATGGGGGTTCGAGGGGGGGAGGGGAGCGGGGAGAGAGGTGGGGCCGGGGGAGGGGCTGGCTGTGCGGGCGATGCCCGGCGCCGGGGCCTGGCCATGTAGCGTGGCGGGTGCGTGGCACAGGCCGGCCACAGCTGCGAGTGCTGGGCGGCGCCCGTCGCGCGAGGAGGCATGCGAGGGGGCGG